TCCTCAGCGGCTTGGGTCAGGTCAATTACTCCCCTGTCTATTTCTCTCATCTTCCTTACCCCACGTCGCTCCACTCGAAGCCGTCTTCGGGATTGGCTTCATTCCTCTCTCCGACTTCTTGGAGGCCGGCGATGCCCACTAAGGAGCGTTTCCCTGTGACTGCAGCAATGACGCAACAGCCGCTTATTTTGAATTCTTCATGGGATGCCTTTTCTGCTATTTCTCTGGATACCGAGGCGGTTCTTGGCTTTCTTCGCCCGCTTCTTGTGGATGGATAGCTTCTCAAAATAGCAGCTGTCCGGGCACCCCTCGCGGTCTCGTACCAACCGCCCGTAATTTTGGCGCCATTCCCACAGCAGGCGCGAGCGTGCATGCACGGCTGCGCTGAACTCCACGCAGCTCGCTAAGGCCACCCGAACTGGCATTGCCGGCATCTTGTAATCTAGAGGTGTACAGGACTCTGGGTTGTAATTCTCGTCCATCGAGTTTTTCGTCGGCTGCCGGTCAGCTCACGTTTCGGTGCCCTTCGCTGTCACGAATGGTTAGTTGTCGTTTGCTCGACCTTGCTTTTTTCGTTTTCTTATAGGTCGGCCTTACTCTACCTTATCTGTTCCTATATTAGGATTTTTCCTATTTTTACCTTACCTAGTATAATGCATTTTTTCACCAGACAAGAAAATGTGGATCATAACATCTTTAGCGTTGCTTTTGAGAGTAAGACGTGGCTACATCCTCAAAGAGTTCTAGATCGTCTGTTCGACACGACGAGTGATCGTTAATGAGTTGAATTCGATTCCTTAAGGCTTAATAAGCTTGATCCTAGTGTGACCAACTTTTGCACTGAACACAATCATCGATGCGTTCTTTAAGAATCGATGGAAAAGTGGGAATCATAAGCATGATGGTTCCGCGTTTATTTAGGCATGGAACGCTTCCATTCACAACGTTGGTGAGATTAGGCGTGAAGCCTGGCTGGGCAAGCTATTGCTAGCTCGAAATCGGTTTAAGAAGCGAATCTATACCGGTTCATGTTTCAAACTGCATTAGTTTCTATGTGGGCCGGGCTACCATGCCTGTATCGAAGTAATTCGTGTGTGGGAAAGCGGACAGAAGCTGTCGGGGGAGATCTTTGGGTGGGTGATCTCAAACGCGACAATGTGGTGCGAAAGATCAATTGGCTGTTAAGCTGCGCTCTACTGAGACCGAATGTCGCAACCAAAGTCATAGCATTCGGATCGAATACCAAGTTGCCACGATCGAGTCGAGACACTAAGATCAGGAACGCATGAAAAGTGCAAAGTCTGGTGAATCCAAGTATACTGGCAGCCATCTCCGTACTAGAGAGTGATCGAAGATCGATCAAAGAGATTGAAAATCGTTCAGAAAGAGTGGAGATCGGTCATGAAGATCGAAGATCGGTTAAGGAGGCAGAAGATCGTTCAGAGAATCGACGATCGGTGAAGGAGACAAATGATCTATCTGAAGTGGACCACGTATGCGAAAGAAAATTCGACGGAATGTAGGGGACAAGTGGCAGCACATACTGGATTTTAGATAACCATATTCGTAATTTAACTTTTAATTGGTGTGATAAGAACAAAATTATAAATGCTTCTAAGCACACGTGTTGGCTTCTCTTCCGGTCTGGAATATTGGCCTCCCGACGTCAAGAAAGTGGACTATACTAGATTAAGTGAGATGCCCAGAAAATTGGCTGGGGGCAATGAATTCTTACCCCCCCTTAGACTGCGATTAGACCCAGCAAGAACTTAATGAAAAAGGCGCAAGATCGCGAGACAGTTCAAGTGGACATAAAACTTGCTTGTCAATCATCCACACAAGATAGGAAGGCAATCTCGTTGAGATCTGGGTATCTTACATCAAGAACTTTACAAGTATATCTGTGATCGTGGGAAGGTTTTCACGCGATCACAAACCCCATTCCGAACACGGTCAAGTTTTCTCTCAAGACGAATCCAACGATACGAGCACAGCTCGCCCATTTTGACGGGTTCACAAGGTGAGAAAAGATACATGGTACAAAAACACAGTACTCCTCAAGCAGTTGGTCGCCTGCGCACCAGCGGAGATTCGGAAACCGCCTCTAAAAATTATCTTTAGCCATTCCATCACAACGGTGCGCGTGCCTGGATCTTCTGGTGGCTTGAAATTCAGCTTAAGTCCCTATATTTAGATGCAAAGTTTAAGACTGAATATGGAATGAAAGTGTCTGAGACGGAGGGATCGTCTCAGAAGCCTGATTTTAAAAGATCCCCACGTGTCAGAGTTTTGGGAGGGGATCTGATGAAAACAAGGAAAAAGAGCAATTTGATCACTCGATCTTGAATGTAGATATCGACCTCATCTTGAGGTCCCTTTGGGAACCACCGCGGACCGTACTGCAAAGCTCGGTCCGCTGGGTGGAAACACTTCAGCAAAAACTGAACAAAACCTACACAAGACCACACAGGCAATGTCGGAGAAGATAATCGTGAAGACAGAACTAATTAAGAAAGAAGAGTCCAGATTAGATCAACACGATTACAGTGTGCAACTGATCAATCGGCCAATCAAGCATATGGACGATTACATGAAGGTGAAAGGGTGGCAGTTGAATCAATTGGCTCAGAGATATTACTGAAAGAAGCTCAAGGATCTGCTATCGAGCATTCGTTGCCCGTGATACTGAAGATCAAGATGATCGATGAGATTCGAGATCGTAAATCCCCGTCGACGGTTGCAACTAGCCCGCTGTACGGGTCAAACGCGAACACTCAGCTACTAGAAAATGCTGGATAGGTCGCTGGATTGTACGACGTGAACAAATTAATAAAGTGCAACCAAAATCAGGTGATACATGCGTGTCTATTGGTTTGTAAAAATAGATTTTCCTGACGGTTAAGTGCAAATTCCTACATCATGCTGCCTCTTCTATCGCCGACGTTCCGAGAGGATACCATACCGGATCGTCGCAGTACGCTTTGGCTGACTCTTAAATGGAGTCGGATGATTCGGTCAATATTCAGCAGATATCTCTGGCTCCAAGTGAAGCAGCACATCTCCTTGATTAAGTTGAGACGATCAAGTTTGATCCGCAATCGACGATCACGTGCACTAAAACAGAGATGTCGTCAACTATGCAAGTACATCTGCGAAAGTACCGTGATGAGACCATAAAACGTTTTCATTAAAAACGTTAAAATCGAGCGTATCAAGCGATCCATCCAAGTCAAAGGATCAAGTTGGCAGAAGTTAAAGAGGCGTATAACCAAAGGCATAGATAAGGAATTGGCGCAATCGCATCTCAGTCGGTCTGACATTTTCGAACCCGTAAACGCCGATCCCGATGATTCGGGTCATTAAGAGCGGCGAAGCGATGCGGTGTTAGTAACGACAGAGACGTTGCAAAACGGTCATGGTGTTCGTCAACGTATTCGAGTGTCAGCGATGGTGGATTTGAATAGATCCAGTGACAAAGGTCGAGACGAAGATCGGGCCAAAAGCTGGATCAGCAAAGTCAAGTTGGTGCTCCTGTGCGATCGGGCTGCAGATGAAGAAAGGTGTTTTATGTTGGTGATCTGTAAACGTAATCGTCTGAAGCTGGCATAACCAACTGAGCCGATCTACACAGAAAAAGTGGAAACAACTGCTGGATTGTTTGATGATACAGTATGGAAGGCAAGGTGTGTCAGTGGCGAGACAGTATGACCTCGCGCGGAAGCTATCCGATAGAACCCACGTGGAATACTTGCACCATCTCAACGTCGCGGCCAAGCATGCCAGGATCGCGATTGAAGCTAAAATACTATCTACATCGGCCACGCGTCGCGAGAATGTGGAACACTTTGTAGCTACGCCGGAGGATTGCAATCTGTCGAGATAGCTGAACTTCCTGTGACTGATGGATAGTAATGAGATTAAAGCATTCTACGTGCGTGTCAAAGGATGAAAAATTGTCAGATGTAATCGTCAATCGGATCATACAAATTCCATTAGCGAGAAATCGCACCTGAAAATCCGATAATGTCCAAGACGACTCGGGCGGTGCAAGCGAACTTAAAGAAATTCGAAATCAGCGAGTCGGAATCGGAGTCAATCAGATCCGGAAAAAATTGGATCGTCGTCGTGTTTGCGTAACGATTACACCGGACCAAGAACGACCGAACACGGATTATCGTAGTTGGCAAAAGAATTCTAGTGAAGGGGAGGAACGCATTTGGATTGGACGATCGAAGGCGTGCACCCATTGTGGATCTACCAGACACGATGATCGAGGGCGATGGAAGAGATTGAATTACCAGAAATTTGGTCGCAAAGAACACCCCTCTGAAATAGAATTCTTCTTGTGTGCAGCCTGCGGGGATGTACACGAAAGTTACAAGTGCCACATCAAAGAATTTTTTAATTTGTTCCGAAAGGGGTACGTGCCTACGAAGCGTGCGAGAATTATTTCGCCCAAGTTTGAGGAGATGTAAAGCTAGAAGGCTCTCTAGGTTGGTTTCTGGCACGAGCCAAGCGATTTAGGCTTTGCATTTATACAATTGTGAAAGGAACAAGAAGATGCTAAGAGGTAAACGATTGAATTAATCTGATGGCTTCTAAACATACACATTCTACATTAGTCTCGTCAATATTAAGTGTAAAAAGAGTGGATTTTTACGTCTGATTGCCTGTGAGAATGGATCGACTTTGCGCCAAGAGAATCACCCGGGTGTTAGAAATACCACCCACCCCGGAAAAAAGTTCAAGCAAGCAAAAGTGGTGGAAAAGCTCGACACTGAGAAAGCCACGATGGTGTTTGATTCCAACGCTGAAGTGTCGATCATTAATACTATCTTTTCTTGTATGGTTAGGACGTGTGACCGACGACAGTCGAACGAAAGCGTACGTCGGAATTGGAGAGAACACGTTAATGACGGAAAGACTGACGAAGATCACGATTACTTTAGACAGATCGTTGGTTTAATATTTTTACATTGGACTGCTGACGAGTTCATCCGAAATGTCATATTGGGTATGTATTACATGTTTTACGAGCATCCGTTTAGACTTAGCCGACGGTATATTATTTCTATCTGAAGCGAATAGTTTCGAAATGGCAGGACGGAAGCCACCTGATCGATCGACCATACAGGCGATCAATCTGAAATTATTCAAATGTGGTTAAACCGGTTGGTATGTCGACAAAACTTCTTTTTGGGGATGGACCACCTATGCTAAGCTTTAGGTGAGGCGAGACATGGCGTGGTTGCCGACAGTCACTAGTGGGCCCGTCCACTTCAGGTATGTGCAGCTCACAAACCTCAGCGATCATGAAATGATCAATGATCATGGAGCTTTGTTCAATTGTGGGAGACATCGGACATGACACCTGGGTCACCAAGGTATGTATCTATCGAGTACCGGCTTACAGACTGTCGAAAGCTAGCGTTTAATGGACTATGGAACTAGAGGAAGAAATATTGGAAAAGCATGCAGGGCTGTTGGTGGGTTATCCATTGCATGAATTTTTCACCTGAGTTCTTTTTCGCCGGACGAGAGAAATTTCGGGGAAGAGCATGTCGCAAACAGAATAGGACACGACCAATTGAAGTGAGGGTAAACTTCAAACCATGGACGGAAGTCACTCGACAAGAACGGATCGGCGATCAACATAGTACATTCTGCAATCTGATCAAAAAGATACCGTAGACTCCAATCGTGAATGAGATGAGCCTAGTTAAGCGATTGAAGGTGTGAAGGTGATTGTGAGGGAAGATACACGATATGGGGAAGCCGGTCCGTTAATCAAACGGTTTAGTCATTTGATGTACGTGACTGATATTAAAGATGGAGGTTTTAGGAAAAGGCCAATCGACGGACAAAAAATTTGGGAAATGTTGGGATTAATGAAGAAACGACGAGATGTAAGTTAGCTTTTAAGTGGTGGACTGGAATTTGTTCATTTTATGAAGCGATCCCGACTCTCCACTGGCGCCCAGACAATCGATTCACGAAGGGGTACTCCGATTTCGCATGCACTTGTTTGCTTCTCACCTTATGTACCCGTCGGTAGTGCGGGTTGCACTCTTCTAGGTGGACTTGACTCGATGCTGAACTTAACCGGTTTAGAGATTGGTGTCGCCCGGGTGGAAATTTCTTACCCTATCAAGTGTTTTTGTTGGTGCTCTCCTTGAGTCGCTGCGATCAGCCTTGATCGCCTTGTGTGAAAAATGGGGTACTTAAGTCGTGAGCCTTCTAACTACTTGATCCGTCTCGAAATCTTGTACTTTAATTAACAAGTAATACTACCTGCGTCCAATTGCAGCTGAGGTGTGTTGAAGGTCTTTGCACTCCTGGCCAAATCACTCCAGGTGTGATCTTTCTGCCCTTGGTGTCGAAGTTCATTGACGTCGGGAGGCCAAAATATTCAACCCGGAAGAAGAACGACGCATACGTGTTTAGAAGCGAACTCAACTTTGTGTAATGTTAACCAACCAAAATCCAAAAGTCTGATCACACCTACTCCGTATGTAAGAATCAAACGCCACGTGTCTTCTCCATGCCGAATAAATATTCGATTCTTTCACAGCACGTGACCCACGCCAGATCGGGGTCCTCTGATTGCGGTCTTCTGGTAGCGGTCCTCTGATCGCATTCCCTAGATTTTTTACAGTTCGATACCGTGTTGAATAGATAGGGTTGAACCCGTTGGGTCTGTCTCAATAAACATCCAACTAACTAGCCATCAATCCACGAACAATTCAGCCGACACCATCTCGTGCTTAGCCGAATCACCTAAGCTTATGGACCCGATCTTGATCGGCTTGACCACAATCGCCCCGTACAAATAGCCGAACCACAACATCCAGCTGGCCATCTGTTCAATCAGTGTGAATACTGATTTTTGATTTTTGTTGGCCTTTTCACAATCATTTTAAAAAAAAAAGTTTTACTCGCGTGAAACAAGAGGTTTTTGAGAGAGTTCGTTTAACCCTCGAGAGGCCAACGATACGTAATTAATTTACTTGCTCTCTTTTTACTATCGTTCTTTTGCTCGAGTTTTTTTCGCCTTAATGTCTTCTGCACCGGCCTATGCCAACGCATCCATATGCGCTTCTGGTGGCCGGTTGGCCTCCCCGAGCGCTATCTATCCAGCGATAGTGATTGCTCTACGGAAGGCCATTCCAGTCTTACCAGCGTTGCGGCTTTTTGTGACGCGTCGAATGACTACGATACTGGCGTGAATACAGGCGAAATGCCCCTCTTCCAAGATACAAGCAACTTTCCATTGGCAAAGAAGCGGGGTAGCCTGATTTTAAAATGTTTCCAGGACGTTCGTTACCCTTCTTTGAAGAACGGGTAAGCGATAAGATCTGGAAATTGTAGCCACCAGACTAGGCTTGAAGGTACACGCTCGTGCCCCCAATAACTCCGCTTCGAGGTCCGGAAAAAAGCCCAGCATGCATTTACGAGCACCATCGCCTCACGGCGGTGACGCGGAGCTAGGCGCCGCAACTTTAAGCACGGGTTTGAATCTGCATCATTCAGTGCCTACCAAGTTTCTGCGCGCGCCGACTCCTCTGGCGCACGCGAGGCCGCCCCGGTCTCCAAACTATTTTTGAGTATCGTCGATGACCGGGAAGAGGCCCGGCGACCCACCGTTGGTACCACCGAAGGTTACTTTGGGCCTTTACTTGGATTAAGTTTAGGTGTCGCCGCGGCTCGAGAACACTTTTAAGACCACGCACCGACGACCACGGGCCAAGGCGCTGCAGTCACCGCCGGCCCTGCAGGGGCCCCAAGCTCCACCGACGCCTGCATCGCGCGCCCAATGGCTCTCTACCTGACGGACGCTGCCGCCGCCTTCAAGGACTCCCGTTAAGTGTTTTGTTGACCCGACAGGGTGAACGGCATGCTGCCCGATGAGGTAGCGGGGTAGGCAGGCCAAGGACTTCAGAGCGACGGCTCCACGGGATCACAAGCATCCTGCCCCGGTACCAAGACGTGCACCAAGGACCAGAACACGTTGCTAAGCCCCCCCCTTAGATGATAGGAAGGCACAGCACACTAAAACTGATGATGCTGGGCCCGGCAGGACGAGCAGCATGCGTCATGTCGGGTCAAGCATGGCTACCTTCCTAGCACCGGCTCCCCGGGTGCACACAGGAAGCCCCTGGGTCTACAGGCATGCAAAACGGCTCCCCCGCCTCATTCATCAGCCCACCAGGTCCCTATTGCTGTAAAGAACCCTCCAATGCTGATTTGCAAGCCGGCAGCGCGACAAGCCTGCTGCATGACCGGTTTAACGATGTGTCCGCGCAAATAGCGGCTACGGCCGGTCCCTGGGAGCTACCCATGGCTCTAGCGACCCCGAAAATAGAGGCAGAAGCGACGCAACAGCCCCGACGACGATACGTCGATGGACAACGATGCTGCAACCGCCCGCCAAAGTGATGACGACCGGCTCGGCCACGTAGTTACGGAGCTGCCTTCCCGAGCTGGATACATTGCAGTGGCCAAGGGCAAAACCATGGACACGACCATCACCTCTTACGAGGCCGTTTCCTTTGCAGCAGCTGACTAAGTTGTTGTTGATGTCTCAAACCAATTAATATCGGCTCGGATGGCAGATACCCATGTTGCCTGACTGAGCCAAGTGTGACTCTCCGAAGACTTGCGGCAACGAGTTTTCCGCTGGGCCCTGTCCCCACATTTATGACAGCACACCCGGCAGGGCGGGTAGCCTGCTGCTGGTGGGTGCTACCCAGGCTCCTGCCATTAATGCGGCCGTCCCTTTATGTGTTGACCAGTGCGCGACGTGGCAGGCAGAAAGCCTCGCTCCGCCTTCTTCTTTTCGTTGACCGCCTTGTCGGCAAGCGTCGCTACCTGAACGACGAGGACGGCGATAACCCGCGCAAGAAATCCAAGCAACTGTTGCGCGAAGAAGTTGAAATCCCCCAAGACACAAGCGCTTTCGCAATCCGCGGGCAGACCACTTCCGGCCTCAGTCCTGGTCGTGTATGCACACAACGGGCGGCGCTTTACGTGCACGCTGTGTGCATGCACAGACTTAAGATTTGCCTCGCTTAACTAACACCGGTATTCAAGGCACCGCCGCATCGCCTTATTCGATCTCTTTTCGTAAGTTTTGTGCGTGCGGCACACCATTCGTGATGAGACTGGCTGCAGCAAACTACGATCGCGCGTGTGCCTTCCCCCACGTCACTTCGGCTGATGCTACGCCAGCAACAGAAGATCTCATCCCCACTGCTGATGAAGCCGATGCCAACGCTACGTTGGCCGACTCCGTACCCGTACTACCCTGACAATACCCCATGGTGCTCGCTGTGTCCCCCCCCACACATGCGAGTACCACTGATATCAGGAAGACAGCGTCAAGATAGAGCCGTCCGATCTCAAGGCAATTGTTTGCTTCGCACGCAGCGTAGCGCCTCAACAAGGTTACTCTCCCAATTGGGGTTTCCACTACCCCGCAGCGTGGTGGTGTCAAGTATTATTGACCACCTTCTCCCGGCATCGTCAATTGAGGAAGATTAGGCTAAGGCTGGCGACAGCGACGAAGAGGACGTCAACGACGCACAAGACATGGAGAGTAGATGCTGATCTTTAACGGTGCCTGCCTGCAAACCCTGTCCCTGGCGGTGATTACGCTGCGTTATTCAATCCCAGCGTCCCCGTATTGATTAAGTGCTTCTACTACAAGCCGAGCAGAAGCGAGACTATGAACACGGCCGAATACAACGCGCTGCTGCTCGACACTGCCTCCGACCACGGTATCACGCGCCTGCGGATTTAGGGTGGCAGCACCATTGACATACAGCGGGTTCTTGGCATCTTTACCACGCGTAACAAGAGGCTCCGGCAACTGCAGATAGCGGTCAAGGTAGAGCTGGCGAGGTTCCAGCACGCCAAGCTCCGTCACATTGACAGGCAGGCAAAAGGTCATGCCGATCGCCTTGCCAACGCCACTCTTGACCGCTGCCGTACCGAAGTAAAGTGTGGGGTGCATATCGATGGACAGGTATGCACCTCTACCTCCACGATGGGCCCCGCACCCGCAGCTGCACCTCCGCCTGCCACACCGTAAGTCGCGGTGGGCACCGATATCCCCTTCAGCCCCTCCGATGATGATGACTTTGGGGACATCGATGATGGTGAGGTGTACGCAGCGATGAGTGTGAGGCCTGATCTCGTAACTTAGCGCCGGTCGCGACTGCGACTACGTTAATGGACGAGGACGAACAAGAGACTGTCAACAAGTTGGTGATCCGTCTGGCTGCAAAACTGGCTGCACGAAATGGGTGGTATGGAATTGTAGGAGGCGGAGGAATACATTACTGCCCTACCATACACTTTGCATGACCACCTGCAACCGTTCATCCAAGCTCAACACCGACTCTATGCTCGCACGGCTTACCCGTCAAGACATGACGGCATTGCTCGGGACCAGGTGCCGTAGTCACTGGATCCTCTTAAGCGTCTAAATACAGTCCCTAAAGTGCTGGATTTTTTGCTCGAATACCGGTCCTTCTCGCGGTAGTGGCCAAGCTTCTCGACGACGCCGTTGACGCTCAGTAGGGCTGCCGCGAAGCCTATACGGCTTTAGCCATCACGGGTACTCGACATCAACGGAAACACCGCTTAGACTAGGCGTTGGATGTCTAGATGCGGTAGAGCGCTCATCACCTGGTTATTGCTACGCTATAAGGAAGGCAAGTCGCCGAGTTGGCTGAACTAGGTCGGCCATCGAACAACAGCGCATCCGCCGCAACTTTGATGTGGATGAGAAGACTTGTGTGGATGGAATCCTAACTTCAACCTGAGTCAAGCGTAATGCCGTTTTCGCTCTACCTACACTGGTGCCCACTGTGGTGAGCGGGGGGATGAAGTCGATGATGGCGTTTGTCCCGTTGTAGGCGAACGCTTACGTAAGTTCTTCACGCAAGTAAACACCGCCGAGCATACTTTTGATGTACTATCTCCGTTCGGTGGACCATTTTGCGTGGCATTTGGGATAAACCACCTGCTGCGTCGTTGGATAGGTTGTCTTTATGACGCTCCTTATGCTAATGAAATTGAAAGCCGAGTGCAGCGGTCCCGTGGCAGCTCCAGCCCAGGACTGGATGGGATTGGGTACGGCATCTACGTGATGCTTAGAGCCCAGCTCCAACCCGCTCTCCACGCAGCATTCGCGTGTTGTTAAAAATTTAAGCGGGTCCCTGGAAGGTGGAAGGCTTTTGCGGTGCGTCTGCTGTACAAGAAAGGTGATCAGTCTGACCCATTCAACTGGCGGCCGACCTGTCTGCAGCAGGCCATCTACAAGCTTTACGCTTGGGTTTTTGCATGACGGTTCACGTTATGGATACAATCTAATGGCAGAATGCTTGTCTTTAAAAGGGCATTCCGTAGAATAAATGGTTGCGGGGAGCTTAACTTCCTCGCAGCCATGCTTGTTGACGAAGATCGGCACAATCACCACGAGCTGTGTGTCGTGTGGTGCGACTTTGCTAGACGCCTTCGGCAGCGTACCACATGACTTGCTCTGAGATGCGCTAAAATGACAGGGATTTTTCACTCGAGTTTATTGCCTTTTGCCATTTTCTCTACTCTGATGCTAACCTTCACCATTGGGAATGCTGTTGATGAGACCACGGCAGCGATTGGGCTATAGGTGGGAGTATGTCAAGTCTGTCCGCTTAGCCCTCACCTATTTACAGCTGATTTCGATCCCTTACTTCACGCGCTTTTAAAACTTCTGTACACTGGAGTGAAGATGTTAGACGTTGATCTCTCCGGTGATTATGCAACACGCAGACGATCTGAAGATATTCAGCAGCACTGTGGATGACATCATGCGTCAACACTCGACGGTCCAAGAAATCTTGGGTTGGACTGGTACGTGTGCGAAACCTACAAAATGCAGCACCAAGTCGGTCCAGCGTGACATCCGGGGCTTGCATAAGACCCAGTACGTTAAGCTGCTGCTAGATGGTACCCCAATGAGCGCTAAAATCTGCTAACTCATAGAAGTACTTGGGGATCGGGGATAAATTCGACCATGTCCGCCGCTGTAAGGAGCTTGCTCCAGCGCTAACAGAGCTGAAGCACGATGCTACAGCTTTGTTGCAGTCTGGAATGGAGCCGTGGAAATCAAGGAAGGCGGTAAACGTTTTTTTCTACCCCGCGAGTTGAGAACGTCGTCCGACATTTGAGGTCATTTGCTAAACAGCCGGAGGGCTACACCACTACCCTATTCGTGGTCTTCGTCTCTTGCTGCACCTACCTTCGAACACCAAGACGGCGTTCTTTTATGCACCGGATTCTCGCAATGGTCAAAGGCTACTGCCCTCGATGGAGCTGCACGGGGCTTTACAAGTAGTGCATGGACGACAGATGTTACACTCTCCTGAACCTGTTATCCAGCTTATCGCCTGTCAGCAGTTCCTCAAGATTGCGGATGTCCGTAAAAAGCTGAATGCTGTGGTGTAGAAGGACCGTGAGATAACCTAGGTAATCTCTTCCTCAGCAACAAGCTGGGAAAGTCCGATATAGCCTTGCCTAAGCGACGCAATGATGAATTTAGCTCCCTGTGGTTGGACGTCCATGGTCACCTCCACCGCTTCGGCTTTTGTTTGAGTCATCGCCCGAGGTGGACGTGACTAGTACGTCATCAAAACCGTTGCAGCTTCGCGTGCTGCACCACTCCAAGCGGTTGGATAACAGGGATGTCTTACAGCACATGACGTTGCACCTCGAGAACAAGCACTGGAACAAGTGATCATTTATGCGGGACCAAAAGAAGACGGCACGCACGCATGGCGGTACTGGTAGTGGATATCTCACAAGGCTGCAAGAATTGTGGAATTCTGAATGTAGGGTCGTAGTGGCTGCCCGCCTCAAAAAATTAAAACGTTCAGTGTGCTAAAACGCCGACGTCTCCTAGCGCATAACACATGCAGGCATCCCGGGTGCTCACGCTCAAAGACGCTGGCCCACATTTCATACGACTGCATCGGAATGATGGAAGTTGTTCGTGATCACCACGACGACGCGAATTAGACCATTGAGCGCAATTTACGGTCGAGGCCTGGTGATTAGACGGACCGGGTGGAGCTTCGTGTCAATCAAACGGTCCATAAAGAGCGGGGCTGGTTCTACGGCCAGATCTTCAGATGCTCAACCACATCAAGAAGACAGTTGCTGTTGTGTATCTCACCAAGGCGTTTATAGTACAAACCAGTGATGGTGATCCAAGTCTACCCTCGCGCTTGTGGCTGCCTAAAAGCGCACCGAGTATGACTGTGTCAATCTACAACAAGAGCGTCAAGGTTGGACGGTTCACCTTTCCGCGCTCGTCTATGGTTCGTTTGGTTCAGTCACCAATGGTAACCATGCGGTTTAAACCAGGCAACTTGGTATGATGAAGTGCGATGCAAAGCGGCTGGACGGACAACGTTCTGCTGAATGCATTGAGTCCAGCCGACGCTTTTATAGCGTGCACTTCATCCAATGCTGTGAAAGGCAATAAGGTTAAGTTCCACCGCAAGGTTCGGGTCCAGTACAGGACCAAGGTCGAAGACGCTCACTACAAGATGCAAGAAGCAGCTGAGTGACGAGAACCAGGTGGAATTGGACACATCAAGGCCGCCGCCAAACGTGTTTAGGGCCCATTGTGGCTGGCAGGGCCATGCTCAAGTAGGGAACGCCCTTAAACCCCTTTGGTACGTCCAGTCTAGCTCTGTGTGGTGCAACCCCTGCCTTGATTAAAGGCTACACAAATTCTACAGGTTATGTCTGTACTTCAGAAACCGACTAAATGGACGGTAATGCAAACTTTTTTCTTTTGAATGTGTCATCACTGGTTTTCGACTTTTGTCGGTCTTTTCTCATTAAATTTTGGACTTTCTACCGAAGTAAAATGTTACTGAGACGGGCGGTATCCGGGGATTACACCATCCTCTCGAGAGGCCAGCCTACGTCTACTCTTTAATCAACTTTGTTTGTGTTAAGGCAACGTTAACCAGCCGCCATCCTTTCGTTTATCAACCACAACCTACGATTTAATAATAGAATTAAATGCATATTGAATAGACCTTGTGCTTGATTGGTCACGCGATCGTACAGCGTTACAAAAGCCTCTTCTTTAATTCTTTCATAGGAATTTGAATGAGGTGCTGCTGAATCACACGAAAGAATTTTGTGTGATCAGTATCGGTGGTGGCGGCAATAAACATATGTGCTAACGTTCTTAATTTTCTGCCTTTCAGACGAGCAAGAAATATTGTGCCAGATCCTATCAGAGCAAGAATAAGGAGGATGCTCTCGCTTCTCGATGCGTGTGTATACATGAACCAATCGTAATTGAGTCTATGTTGAAGCTGTACGGTTTAGTACTGACAAAGGTGGACAAGTTTTCCTCGATTTGCGATCGGGAATGTCGTGATGTTATGTGCCACTTTATGTCCAGGACTCGGTCACGAGGCAAATAATGATGACGAAAATGGTAGCAAGTAGTTTGGTAAACTTAAGCTTCGTGATTGGCGCGATAAGAATAGGATACGCCGAAGCTCATCTGATCATGCATCGCGACCGTTATCATTATATATGTAATCGACCAGACGAATGCGCTTTATGGCAGCTTATGTGGTACACTGGTGTTGCTTTGTCGTTTTTGTGTCGAAGCATTTTTTATTTACGATCCAGTGTGTATTTCGACTTGACTTATGCTTGCCAATGGCAATTGAACATTTTTGGTCGTTGCTCTAGGTATTGCTGGACATATTTAAAAATTGAATCTTTCCATTTGTTAAATAGCAGATTGCCTGTGAGCATCTCGAGCTGGAATCGAAACACTAGATGAAACTTTTTCTATCTACATCAGTTGACGAAGAAATAGTTGACTACAAATGTAAAGAAGAAATTATTGCAGTGACGCTCAAAAGGTGTACGATTCACTTAAATTGATGGAGAAGCTTCTAAGTGTCGTAAAAAGGTAAGGAATGGCTGCCA